AACACGTCCACCCATGTCCAGCTCTTTCCCAGCCTCCTTCTTACATCTTATTTTGAGACGGGTCTTGCTAAGTTGCCAAGGCACCTGGGAGTAGTCCACAGTCTCTGCCCACCCGCCTCAGTCCTCAGCTTGCCAGGGTCTGAAATGAGCCACCCTGAGCCCCAACCCTGAGGCTCCTCTTGCTCTGCCACTCGGCTGCTAGCTCCAATGGACGGCTTCTACTGACAGCAACCATGGGTTGGTTCCATAGCTTAGCTATTGTGAATTGAGCTGCTATTAACTTTGATGTGGCTGTGTCACTGTAGTACGCTGATTTTAAGTCCTTTGGGTATATGCTGAGGAGTGGGATAGCTGGGTCAAATGGTGGTTCCACTCCAGGTTTTCTGAGGAATCTCCATACGGCTTTCCAAAGTGGTTGCACCTATTTGCAGTCCCACCAGCAGTGTATACTTTTCCCCCACATTCCACCAACATTTACTGTTACTGTATTTTTGATAATTGCCATTCTGATTAGAGTGAGATGAAATCTCAGTGTAGTTTTAATTTGCACTTCTCTAATTGCTAGAGGTGTTGAACATTGTTTCATACATTTGTTGACTGATCATATTTCTTCTGTGAAGTATCTGTTCGGTTCTATGGCCATTTATTGACTGGATGATGATGATGATGATGATGATGATGATGATGATGATGATGATGATGATGATTTTGGTGTTAAGGTTTTTGAGTTTTCTATATGTCCTGGAGATTACTGCTCTATCTGAAGTGCTGGTGGTAAAGATTTCCCCCCATTCTCTTCATGCTGTGAAGAACTTCACTCCAATCTCTGGTGAAGATATAAACAGAGTGACCTTGGTTCTAAAGGAAGAGAACATCAGAAGTAAGAGAACATCGGAAGACCTCCACCTTGCAGTGGGCATGTGATCTACCCTGTGTACTCCCCTGTTTGGAGGGATGCATGGTCCTCCACTGTACCCCAGCCTGCCACCAGTAAGGAGGGAGTAAGAAAATGTCCTCCAAGTTCTTTCTCTGGGACTGGTTAACAGTGCTGGGGATGTGGGCAATCTTAGGGTTGAAGTCCATCTCAGGTGCCCAGCCCAGCAGCTGTGATGGACAGCCTCAGTGAATGCTTACGGAAAAAGGAGGAGGGAAAGGAAGAAAAGGAGGAGGAAGGGAAGGGAGGGGCAGAGGGAAGGAGGGGGGTACAGGGTGGACGCCTGCCCCTGGCCTGCAATGCCTGGAGTTTGTGTGTCACTCTTTCTGCAAGCAGGAATACTGGCTCCCACAAACCAGCTATTGCTCTAGCTGCTGCAGTGCACAGCACAAAGGGAGCTCCTGATCACCCCAGGCCACTTCCTGAGTGATCAAGTGACTTCTAACTCACTCCTTTCAAGCCTGTCAGCATTACATCTCTGAAGCATGGCATGTCACTTAGTGAAAGAACAGTAATCTACCAAAGCCACACAACGGGGAAAAGACAAAGCCTCTTTTCAGCTGCCAGTGGCCCAGGGCCTGTTCAGCCCGAGGTCACAGGAGGAGCCCTCAGGACTTGCAGGAACCACCTCAGGCATCCTCTGGCCACTCGGAAGGGGGCAAAAAACTGCCAGCTCCAAGTACAGTTGGGAGGTTGAGAGGCAGAGAGGCTAAGCACCAGGTCCTCGGCCACACACACCCAGTGAGCAAGAAAAGGAGCTCAGACTGGAACCCAGGCACGAGGCTCCCACCTTGGGACAGAAAACCACAACTAGGACCAAGCCCCTTACAAGGACCTGAGGCTCTTTAGTAGCGCGGGACGCTCTTGGTGGCAAAGCCCCTCAGTAAGTTTCGATTCTCCAAAGTCCATGAGAAGCAGCCTGGACACAGAGTTCTTCTATTTTATTTTTTTTTTTAATTATTGTTAAAAAAAACAAACGAGGGCCCAGAGAGGGTAAGAGATGCAAGTGCTCAGGAACAAGAAGACAATGGCTCTGTCTTGTACACCCCCCCTTGGCCTCTCCCACTGCATTGCCTGCCCCTCACGGAGTAAGGCATTTCCTCCTAGCGCCACCCCACAGGAGTTCTGGGGTCAGACTTGGTGGCTGCTAGGACAACAATGACATCTCTTGGACGGAGCGTCTCAGGTACTGTAACAGGGAACCGCGTGTGAGACTCAGTGCTCGCTGGAGCAGCTTCCACATTCTCTAACTTCATCTCCCAGAACCTGCCAGAGCAACTGCTCCAAAGAACATTCACGTTCTGGTTCAGCTGCTCTATGGTTTCTGGCCCTCTCTTCAGGATGCTTCACTCTGGATCCACAGCTCTTTATCTGCAATTCTAAAATGCACAGGACTCTGAAATCCAAGGATTTTTCTCCCTGTGTTTGTAGCAAATTAATCTGACAGCAGAACCTTA